ATTGAAATTTATAAAAAATAAAAAAATAATCCTTAAAATATTTAGAAAATAATTTTTAATAAAATCTATGCTTAAATTCTTAAATTTTAAATTATTTTCTTCATTTTTGTATGCTGTGTTCTTTGTTTTAAAATCCTTTTATCTTGGTTAAAATAATAATTATTTTAGAAGATTTAATATTAAATATTTAATTAAAAAATATATTTTTAATAATTTATCTTAATAATTAGAGAATTTTTGGGATTATTTTTAATGCGGCATTTTAACTTTTTAACGTGTTCAAAAAAACGTATTTTAACCTTTTTCGTAACTGTTTTAGCTTGTAAATATATTTAGGAATGTGCTAAATAATATTTTAAGTATTTAACTATACTTTAATAGCATATTTATGCTTAAAGTACAGAAAAAAAAGCACATATTTAGTATTCTTGATGTTTTGTCTTTAAAAAACGTTTAATTAAAGATTATAAACATTAGCAAACGTTATTAATTTATACTTAAATATGTTTAATAGCCTTTAATGCAATTAATAATTTAGAATTATTGAGTAGAAACACTTCAAGATCATGTGGAAAAATGAATAATGAATGAGAACTTAAATCAGATAAGTTTTATAGCATCGAATTTATAGCTTGGTTTCACTTTAAATTACATTAATTTTTAATAATTTGTAATATTTTTGAAAAGGAAATAAGTTAATTTTGTTTACTTCATGTAATTTTGATGAGTAAATTTATAACTTTTATCGAAAAACCTTTCGTTCTAGGCCAAAATTCTGTACTTGTATTCTCATACATCCCTTTGTAAACCATCAAGTTAATTTAGTTTCAAGATAAATTGGAAGTAAATTATATAAAAATTTCTATATAAAACTAATTTTAAGCATCTCTTTTAACGTTTTTATAATAATTTTGAGGGTTTTTGTAGTATTTATCGGGACAGAAGGAGCTAGTTTAGTATGACAATGTCTTAGTTGTATTAACGTTTCTGAAACGTTGACACGTGTTGATATAGTTAATATATA